CAAAACATCCTACCGTAAGTAGTTTCTGCACATTTCTGCTGTCACAGAGTCATTCCAGCACAAATTTAAGTAGGTATGACGGTTTGCCACTTAACGTTGCCCATCAGAGTATGCTTGTAGCTCATATTCTTAAAGACAGGGTGGTTTGCCACTTCATTTTACCCGTTAAAGTATGCTTATAGGCCACATTCACAAAGGTAGGATGGTTTGGCACTTAATTTTGTGTTGTGCACATGCGCAGAAACAATGGGTAGGATGGTTTGCCAGAACACTGGAGCCCTTTGATTTGATTTGACAAGATGGGTCCGTCGCTTCGAGAGTTTGTCATTCATGCATTCGTGACTGCCTTGCATGCATTAGCAGAGCACTGTAACTACGGACCGCTCCACGATGAGCTGATAAGACACAGAATAGTAGTGGGCTGGCTGACACGAGGTTGTCTGAGCGCATGCAGATGGAAAAAGACTTGAACTTGGATAAAGCTATAAATATGGGCAGGCCGTCAGAAGAAATCTAAAAGCAACAGTCAGCTTTGAGAAGTGAAACAAATGTGATGCGAGTAAATGTGAATGCAGTTGACAGAGTGATAAAAAAGCACGACAAAACAAAGTTCAACATGTTCAAAAATAAAACTGTCAAAACACAACAGCAATATAGCAAGAGACAAAGTAACACATGAGTGCCCAGCAAATGATGTAAAATGTTGTTTATAAAAAAAGGTCACTACCAGCACGTCTGCAGACAAAGCAAGACAGTGCAAAGTATTGAGGAGGAAGAGGAGCAAGGTTTCTTCCTAGGCTCAGTTTCCAGTGAGGGCCAGGCGTGGTCAGCCATCATACAAGTGAAAGATGCAGAAATTACTTTCAAACTGGATACTGGAGCAGATGTGACTGTAATAGCTGACTCGGACTTGTCAAAGATTTTTGCTAACGAACACAGACCAGTTCTCCAGCAGCCAGAAAGACCTTTGTTTGGCCCTGGAAAAACACCGCTGGACGTTGCAGGTTTTACAAAGCTACAGCTCAACTACGGAGCAAAACAAACAACAGAGAAGGTCTATGTTGTAAGAAACCTGAGCACTCCACTGCTAGGCCTGCCCGCCATTGCAGCTCTTGGCCTGCTGGTGCGAGTTGATGTGGTTTCAGTGTATACTCTGAAGACTACTTACCCTAAACTTTGCAATGGTCTAGGGAAAGTGCAGCGGGTCTATCATATTAAACTCAAACCGAATGCTGTGCCGTACTCGCTCAAAACTCTGAGAAGGCTTCCTCTGCCTCTAATGGGAAGGGTAAAGGAGGAACTCCAACGAATGGAAGAACTTGGTGTCATTACCCGAGTTGAGGAACCAACGGATTGGTGTGCCGGCATGGTTGTTGTTCCAAAGAAAAACAGCCCTGGGCTGAGACTTTGTGTAGACTTTACTGGACTAAATGAGTATGTGTGCAGGGAGAAATATGTGCTGCCATCGGTTGAACAAATCTCGGAATGCTCGCAGGAGCCAAAGTGCAAACTGGACGCTAACATGGGCTCCTGGCAGATTCCCCTGTCTGATGAGTCTGCCAAACTCACCACCTTCATCACACCGGTTCCATTATACCGTTCGGGATCAACTCAGCGCCCGAACACTTTCAGCGGAGGTCATTTAGGGGCCTGGAAAGAGTGGTGTGTCACATTGATGATGTGTTGGTGCGGGGACGTAACCATCAGGAGCACGATTCCCGTCTCCATGCTACACTGCAAAGATTGGAAAAAGCAGGCATAACGCTGAATGTTAAAAAATGGCGGAGCCAACTAATGTGTCAGAGTTGCGCATTTTTCTGGGCATGGTGAATCAAGTGGGCAAGTTCTTCCCCCATTTAGCTGAAAAAGCCCTGCAAGATGTTCTTTCCAAATATAACCCATGGTACTGGGGAACGGACCAAGCGAGAGCTTTCAAAACATTAACAGATACCCTGACCTCACCTCCGGTGCTTAGGGCTGGGTATCGTCACTGATTTCTAGAATCGATTCGTTTCCGATTCACAAGGTCCCGAATCGAGTTGATCCACGATTTGATTCTATTCTATTCGATCCTATTCCGATTTGAATCGGGGAAATTTTGCCTCAGAGAGTCAGAAATATTATAATTCTGAAGAAGGAAATCAAGGTGCTGTAAAATGTAAAGCTCGTGTACGCCAAACAGTGTTGTGGCCCTGGCTGAGTCAACAAAACTCTGAGATGGTGCTCAAATGCAGAACATGCATTCAAGAAAGACACAATCACAGTGAGCCACTCATGCCAACAGGATACCCTGCCCGCCCATGGCAGAGTGGGGGAAACGTACCTTCTTGCTGTTGACTAGCACTCTAGATTTGTTGAGATTGCTTTGTTAAACAAAATCAAACGATGCCATTACCCACCTGAAATCTTTCTTCGCCCGTCATGGCATCCCAGAGGTCCTCATGTCTGATAATAGGCGACAGTATTCAGGTCAAACCTTTGATTTCACAGCAGCGTACGGCTTTAAGCACATCACAAGCAGTCCTAAGTTTCCGCAAAGTAATGGAGAAGCAGAACGTGCTGTGCAGAATGCAAAAATGTTCTGGAAAAAAGCAGCTGATCCTTATCGAGCTCTTCATGCCTATAAAGCTACACCACTGCACCACGTCTGCGAACCACACTGCCCATACTTCCATCGCAGCTGGAGCCAACACTGCTGGACGGCGCACTGCTCGCTCCAAAGGAAGGGGAGAAAAGAAATATTCAGTTTTTGTTTAAAAAGGGAGATGTGTTGTATTCATAATTGTCCCTGGTTGAGGCATCGCAAGAAATTAGTTGTTTTTATAAATATATGGGTTTGCATAATAGTTATTATTCATAGATACCTACATCCTAAGTTCCTGTTATTCATCTGAAAGAAGCAGAATGAATGTCGTTACAATGGTGATGCCAGGAGAGGCAGTAATGGTTCTGTGTTACATTAATGCTGTAAGAAAGAAGAAGAGAGAGTCCTGTAGGATGTTCTGATGTTCTGAACATGTGCTGAGAAGAAGGTTCAGTAAACAAGTCGCAGCGATACTCCGGTGCAAGGCTCAGTTATTTATTTTTATTTTTGAAGGTGCAACACTGCTACATTTGTTGTTCGATTGTGTAATTACGTGTTGCACACTGGCAATGCATGCAGGCGGAAATAAAGTGAGTAAAGAGTTGGTCTTAGTGCACACAGTTGTCCCGCGTACTTATTCCGATTCAGAGTAAGAATCACACACAAACTGTAACATGACACTGACTGGGTAGTTATCAGTGAAAGCAAAAACATTAACAACATTAAATGGAGTTAACAAGGAGCATATTACTGGTTTAATGGGACAGTCACAGTAATTGGGCAAAGAACTGCACATCAGAAATGACAGGAAGGTACCAATGGAAGCAACAGCTGAAGTCAAAATGACATGACAAGAGATTAAAACACCGATCCTGTGGTAAATATCAGCAACACTGGACCTCTGTATATTCTCTTTACTGTTTACATTTGAAATGTTTTTGCTTCAGTTCTTCAACCACGTGGTGCGTCAGTGCGGTCATTCTTTACTTTAGCTTGAGCCGAGTGATTCTTCTCCTATAATGGTTCAATGATCATGCTTGAAAGTGCACTAAAAGCCATCAGAAAACATTAAGTGCATTCATTTTGACAAGAGTCACTACAAACAAATGGAAATGAGCACAGTATGCACCAGCTGCAGCACAGTGCAAAGAAAACTACTCAGGGCATCAGTTTTTAACAGTTTAGTTTTAATACCTGAAACATTTGCACAGCACTTCATGTCAACAGTAGCTACATAAAAGCTCTACACTGACAGTTTTACATGTTAAATTCTTAAACAGCTTACAGTCTGTGTTGGATTGTCTTTTGGATAAACTCTGATAGTCACAACCTCAATATTCAGCAGTATTGAACCAAAACAGGAAGCTCTCTGCTGTAACAAAAACACCAGGAAAAGCTTTCTGGAAAAATGGTTTTAAATACTAAACCATGGCTTCATTATGATGAATACAGCAACTACAGTGTGTTATTTGATTCAATCTGACCAATGGGTGTGAATGTTGTGGGCATGTTATGAAGTTAGACGAAGATAATATGACAGGCAGAGAAAAAAACTTTGCAGCAAAGAGGAAAAATATCTTAAAAATGTTTTCTACTAGGGATGCACCGATACCACTTTTTTGGAAACGAGTACGAGTACTTGCATTTCAGTACTCGCCGATACCGAGTACTTAATAAAAACATGATTTAGATTTACAGGTAACAGCTTTAGTCCTATAATTTAACAAAAAAAAAGGGCGCCTGTGATTAACCCCTTACATGCCGCTCAAACATAGACAGGTCTCAGACCGTGGTATCGGGGGACTTTTAACGAGTACGAGTACTTTAGAAAATGTGGTATCGAGGCCGATACCCGATACCGGTAATGGTATCGGTGCATCCCTATTTTCTACAGTAACAATCAAAATATTTACTGACAAACACCAGGGCTGAAAGAAGTATTTGGCCTAGTAGTTTACAAATACTCCACTAGAAGTAAACCTTGCTAGGTTGTGAGCATCAATAATAAAGGTAATTACTCTGTTAAAAATATTCCCTGTGTTCCTGTTATATATTATGCTAGTGAACTAAACTAGCCCCAGCATTTATATTCAGTTCATAAAATTACTTAAGCAACTTAGTGCAGTGGACGGGTAAGGCTGAGCTGATTTGAAGTCGTTTACAATCTGCTGGGAAATATTTTCACCTGATTATCTGCAGTCGTTGAGCTCATAAGAACATCTGCATGGAGATCGTGTAAAAGAAATATCTATGGATTAAAGTTAATATACGAAGACAATTTTATTCAACATTACTGGTTACATTTTTGACATACAGGTTGAAGCTTGGAGAAGAATGTTAAATTTAACACATCTAACATCTGGACCTGAAGAGCTAAAGAAATGCCGTCTTCACTGGACCTTAATTTCTCGTCATCTCACATTTTGATAACGGTGTTTAGGGGATAAACACACATTAAGAGTAATTTGCTTGTTTATGTGCATGGATAAAATCATACACGTAGCACTTGGAAAGAAAGCAACTGGGCATCTTTATTTATTTATTATAAATACACAGACACTTATTTATTGTGTATCTTTGCATTTGGCATTTTTTAGACACATTTTTTTTCTCGGTTACTTTTTCGGCCTGTGTGGTCTTGTTTGGCATTTTCTCTCATAGTAATATTGTTCAGGAATTTTGTGTTTCCAGATGCCATTAAATGCAGATGCCATCATACATGCATAATACACAGTGATGTGTCTGTGTCCTTTGAAGCCATTACAGTGGCCGTCATGCACACGTACAGCTTGGCTTCCTGTGCCTTTCTTGCTACGTCCTGCAGAGTTGGATGCTGGGGTTGGTACACTCCTTGAGTCACTTTGATGGGGGGGAGAAGAAAATGGGGAAGAAGTCGAGATAGAGGAGGAGGGTGAGGAGTAAGATTAGCTGAGGTGGACGTGATGGAGGTGAAGACGAGGCGATGCTGACACGAAGCCCACGGTGGACTCATGTTAACGTGGTGTGCTGACGTGGCTAGAAGAAGGGAGGAGACGACTCAGATTCAGAGATGGGATAAAAGTTTTGTGAGGACAAGGAAATGGAAGGAAATGAAGAGGACGGAGAGGGAGATCAAGGTGAAGAGCCTGATGGACAAACTGAAGGAGTTTTTCAGCAAAGAGTTGAGGAACGACAGGTAGGCACACCTGAAGGAGGCAGAGAAGGCTGAAGGTGAAGAAGGTGGAGGAGCAGGAAGAGGACAGGTTTTGGAGGTCATCAGTGGCATCTGGGCAGTGAGAAGTGGACAGATGGGTGTTTCCTCGAGCTAGGCTTTAATCATAGAAGCACGCAAAGCAACAACACAATGCTTTACTGCTTCTGCTGACAGCCTGCAAACACACCGCGGGTTACAACAAATCAGGAGAACATCACTTGATCTCAGCACTAATACCTGTTATCGCTACAGCTTTAGCCAGTCAACCCCCTTCTAGAGGTTATTCTTGATAAACTATATTCATCTGCTGTAAGAGTTCACAGAGTTAATACATAACGTTTTACTTTTGAATTTATATTTCAAACATATCTCCCTGATGAATACAGTAAAACTGAAGTCATTAAGCACAGGATTCAGCTCCATGTTACATGTTATTCTGTCTATATTGAGCTTGTTGTGCAGGATTTAAGAGGCGTTTCTGCACCTGTTATCATCCACCTCTTAACTCTGATGTTATTCGCCATTTCCAGGTCAAACTCTTGTTTGGTTCCCAAACTAAAAAAACCCAGAAACACTGAGGGTTAAAATGGCCCAAATTCTTCAATAACATGTTCAGTGTGGCTGCTCTCCCAGGTGTTACAGTGAAGTTGGTTAGCTGCCAAATAATGTTGGCTTTCACATACAAGGTCTTAAATAATCAGGCCCCATCTTATCTTAATGATCTTGTAGTACCATATCACTCCAAATGAGAACTTTGCTCTCAGACTGCAGGCTTATTTGTGGATATTTAAAAGTCGAATGGGAGGCAGAGCCTTCAGTTTTCAGGCCCCTCTTCTGTGGAACCAGCTTCCAGTTTGGATTCAGGAGACAGACACTATCTCTACTTTTAAGATTAGGCTCCCTTTTGACAAAGCTGGATCAGTTATGCTGCAGTAGACTGGTTGCTGGAGGTGTTTCTCCTTTTCTCTGTTTTGGAGTTTGCATGTGTTTTGTCTCTAGGGGCCACCGTAGATTTATGCAGTTAAACTTATTTCTAGAATAGAAACCAATGAGCAGTTTATTTGAAAGACCTGTGTTTTTTCCTCTTTTGAATATTTATTATTTCTCATTAAGTACATACAAAAGTATTTCCTATCGATTAATCAATTAAATGATCAATAGATTATTTGATTACTAAAATAATCAATAGCTGCAGCCCTTTTTCAATGCATCACTAAACAAGAACGGTAAAACATTCACGCAGTGCTTAAAAGATGGGAAACCTCTTCATGCCATAAACAGGAAGTGAATCAGTGGCAGATGTTCCCACAGAATTATTAATTTCTGTAAATGATGAATCCTGATGTGTTTGCGTCTAAAGAAATGGAGTTCTGAACTCAGAAAAACTCACTGCCAGATGAAGGATAGTTGTACAGATTACATGCAGGTCAAGATTCACTCACTGATGTAGAAACTTCAGTGTCAAATTTGTCTAGTTTCAAGACATTATGTTTAATTTTGATATAGGAGATGTCACTAAATCTCAGCGAGTGTATCTTGACAGTACAGGGTACATGTAGAAACTTTAAGATGACACACATCTAAAAAAAGAAGAACAGGACAAAAATCCACTGCAGAACACACATTCAAACTCAAGTGCAGTGAAAACATCAAACTCAATTTAAGGTCATTTCCTCGTCCATTATTACACAGCTATCCTGCTCCATTTGGATCACTTTGTGGACTCTCTCTCTACACACAGGTAGGTAGTAGGGGTGCAACAATACACAAAATTCACGGTTCGGTTCGATACTTTGGTGTCACGGTT